GGGGGGGAATAGCAAGGTGTCCACAAGCAAAAATATCACTATACTTCAAAAAAAAAGAGAGGAACCGCTGCAACAGAACACAAAAATGCTTGCACGTACAAAAACAAACAGTGAAGAAACCAAAAAAACATCAGAGAAACCAATAGGTAGACTTCAAGAACCCAAGGGCTAAAGCAGGGGCAGAGTCAAAGGCAGAAACCAGGTCAGAAAGAGACAGTTTTGGTAACAGGCTGGCCACCAGGACTAAGACAGGCAATATACAGGTGCTGGAGCCAATGTGCAGCATAAGTCTGACAGCAATCCAACACCTGGAAACGAGCAGCAAAGCAGTATATATGGGGTGAGGAGAGAGATTTGCCAGGTGATCAGAATCACCCACTGATTGGCAGTAACAAAGTTGGAGAGAGTGAGATGGAGAAAACCAGGAAGTTCCTTTCAAAATAATTCTCTAGTAGGAAGCCAGGGGACGGAACATGACAGGTACTGAATTTTTCTCCCAATATGGATACCTGGAGAGGTGGCCACATGAACTTTTCATGCCCCATGCATATATTTCAGTCTATATTTAGATAATGTGAAAGAAGTCAGTGGTTACCTTAATCAGAGTTCCTGTTAGTATCTAACCATGGTTAAATGACGGCAGCTGACCAACTGTTAGCAGTTAGATCTCTCAGCTAGGCTGAGCTGGACTATAGCAGCTGATTGGAGTCGTAGCAGCAGCAGCAGTAGGCAGACAGAGGAAGCAGGAAGACACACAGCTTGGCATCGCTCATAGCATATTCATGAATACACAAAAACACACACATTTTTTTTCATTTATTGTGGGGACTTTAACTTGGTTTGTATTCATTTAATGAAAACATATACCTAACCTTAAGCTTAAGTCTAATCTTAAAGTCATCACCATATAAAATTCAGTGATTTACCTGGTGGGGACCAATATCTGCCCCCACGAGGAAAAGTGAGTGTGTAAACAGTTTGTGTCACCACAATGTGAATAATACCAGGCACACACACATTTGTTCCCCCACATACAAAACTTTTTCAAACAAAACTTTACTTTTGCATTTTCATAATCTCTCTAGCATTTCCATAACCTCTTTGCAGACTTTTTTTTTGCTTTGGAGGACTGTTATTTTATTTCTGATTAAATGGTTTGTGTTTTCTTTTACAAAGTTAAACTATTATTGCATGTGCATCTGTGGACTTGTTAGTGTAATTAGCTGAAATACCTGAGCTATAGTTTACCCATCATTTGCTAATACAGCATGTGGTCAGCATTCATTAGAATGGAATCCAGCTGAGATGGAAACACCACTAACTATGGAAAGAAACAAAGAAGTCAATGTGAGCTGTGTGGAAACACAGAGAAGGTGTAGTGTGCATTTTACATTTTTGCTCAAGGGATGAGGATCATGGTTCACTGAAGGTCAGAGCCCACGCCAGTCTGATGTCAGGTCCGCTTTGGTGTGGATAGTGACACTTTGGCAACCAGGTGGAAAGGTTATCTCTGCTGCTGGTGTGGGCCTGTTGCTATGTGGGATGGTTGGTATTTGTTTTGCTAGGAAGTGAGCTCAGATCTAGACTAGGATCAGGCCAAACTTGTCATAGGTTGTAAAAGTCAAGCACTGTTCAATAACATGAATGTGTCCTGACAGGTGTCTGTGTTGAGTGTTTTTCTTTTTCTATGAAGTGCTTTGTTGTGAGCTTTTTAGGTCACCTTGTCATTGAAAGTGAAGCAGTAGTGATGGAACGATTCAGACAGCAAGATTAGGGGAGTCTGCCACACTGAACTGTATCTGTCTGTTTAGAACTGTCATTGAATAGAAATGTTGAAATGCTGTGTAATTTCCCAGCTTTTGTGAAACTGGTAATAAATGTTGCACATTATGTCCCATTGCCCTCACTGTGCCCCATCTGCATCAAACTCTTCTCCATTTCTCTCTTTCTCTATAACACCACAGGATCGCCTGTACTTTGTCATGGAGTATGTGAATGGGGGAGACCTCATGTACCATATCCAACAAGTGGGCAAGTTCAAAGAACCACAAGCAGTGTAAGACATGTCATCCTTGTTCCTGTGATGGAATTCTTTCTGGAACATAGCAGAGCTTTGTTTTGTTTTAAAGGTTCATTTTCTTGTGGTGTCAGTCAATAAATGTGTGGTTGTTCTTATAGGTTTTATGCAGCTGAGATTGCTGTTGGTCTCTTCTTCCTGCACAGTAAAGGAATCATCTACAGGTGAGTATTAACCAGTTTACACAGAGTCTAACTGAAAAAAGAAATGTCAACTTTTTCAAAGAGGTTTTGAATGTCTGTCTACTTCCTCAGAGATTTGAAGTTGGACAATGTGATGCTGGACTCCGAGGGCCACATTAAGATTGCAGACTTCGGCATGTGTAAAGAGAACATGGCAGAAGGAGTGAGCACGCGCACCTTCTGCGGCACTCCAGACTACATAGCCCCAGAGGTAAATAAGTTTTAACAGGAACAGATGTGTGTGTCTGTTTATGTGTGCGCGCATGCATGTTTTGATGCATGAGCTCATCTCTGTCTCGTCTCAGCCTGTGTCACCCTTGTGACAGATTAAGGTCACTGCCTCAGGGCATGTAAACTCACAAGTAAACACACACAGTTACATCTCCATTCTGGGCTGAGATGACGCTGCAACACGTCGCTGGCTTCATCAGTCTGTTGAAGTGATGGCTTTCTGTCATTCAGACACAGTGAACTTTTATCATTATGTTCTTCAGGGCTTCATTCAGACATACAACAATGAACAAGGTGAGTGTGCAGGGACCATTTACAAAGCACAACACCAGGAAGCGATACTACAACAATATTCACTCCTCGCCAAAATCCCTTCACACATCACTGGACTCCTGCTGGTTTTATAACAACACAGTTTGGGAAAATGTGACTAAGAGCAAAGCTATTGAATATTTTTTAGCATGTTTTTTCAGTGCACTTTGTAGACGGTCCCTGTGCAACTGTCTCACAGCTGACTGCACATAACATGATCTGCAGTTGGAAAGAGGGATTGTTTGTGTTTGCTTATGATTTATTGAAACCGGGGACTTTGAATCTGTGAATATTCCAGCCTAGGATTGGTCTTATGCGGCTTTATTCATTTTAGATATTTTTTCTGGTAAAACAGTAACAACTTAAAATATCTGGTCAGTCTATCCAAGTAATGTGTAGGCATAATTGGAGATTTGCTCCAGTTTTTTCAGAGATGTGAGTACCAATTAGCTGAGCAAGCTGTCTTCATTATGTTTTTTGCTTCTTCATCATCGGACTCAAATGGCATCTGCATTGAAATGTCCTGTTCTCTCAAATATTTGAATACCAAAATTGAAAACCGATTATCTACTCAAATAAAGAATGTGCCCTAGTATGGGCAAGATGGTGCACAATTTACAAGCCCACTGCTGACCACAGTTATTTATCATGTGAATTATTTCAATAACAAAATACATTACTAAAATGAAAACCAAATTAGTTATTCTGCAAAACATGAACCGGATCTTTGCCTACATAAAATATATTGTGAAATACAGAAAAAAAAAGATCATTTCAACCAGGAAATCTGATAAAAGCAGAAATAAATACAATCAAGAGTCTGACCTAATAAGTATTTGGCATCAGATTTGGAAATTCATTATACCCAGTGCTATAGACATACACTGTAGTACAGCTGGTATAATCATCTACCCATCTCTAGTCATGACCTCATCACATAAATTAGGGTGTTGGTAAAATGCTGTGTTAGCACTGTCAAGCTATTTGTCTATAATTCAGTGCCATTTTTGTGGTAATATCTTTATCAGTGTGTATTTTATTCAGCCAATATAATAACAAGCAGCTTGCATTCATACTTGACCGATTTACTTTGTCCAACTCTTTGGCCTTTATCAGTTATTTAGTTTCCATTTAATGGTGGGCTACATTATTGATTCTCACTAAAACCCCCTCTGACAGACTGGGAGGTTAATTCTGCCCGTGGATGCGGGGTAAACATACTGTGACCATTCAGAATCAGACTGACATTATTGCACCAACCAAGGATGAACGGGGGCAGGAGCAGCTAATGTTTCCAGAGCACTGTCGTTCTACACTGGGTAGTGTTTGAGCGATTTATTCATCCTCAAGTTGCAAATACATGGGTGATATCTCACTAAACTCAAGAGAGATTTTACTGTGTATCAGTCATGAACAACATTTGCAAGGATTTGTCATCTGTCTGAAATTTAAACAAAGTTCACTGACACGTTATAGGTGTCAGACCTTGGAGGAATTTAATTTACTCCCCTCCACCATTTTGATTAGCCATTTCTTGGCTTCATAACCTAGGTTAAAGGCCAGTGGTAAGTGTGGTTTTTCTGGATTCGACCATAATTTTCAAAGAATTGAGAACCACCAATATGGATGCCTGAGGGTCTGTTCACTGAGGCGGAGTGGGAGAACACCTGCCTCCCTGAATAAGGCAAATCTGCAGTGTAGTGCATGTTTGTGTTTGCGAGGTCACTTCTACACCATAACTGTGTTGGTAGGTTTGTGCATGTTTGTATCTCAGTATGCGAGATGAGAAATATTTTCACACTTCTCTTTCTCACCCACACCTGCCCACATGCTCACACCTCTATCAGTGTGGAAGCACATTTCTATATAACAGTGGATCTGTCTGCTGGTAGTCAACACACATGAGAGAATGCAGCACTGTTCCCGCTGCTAGTTGCCCCACACAGATACATGAACACATGTGCAGGCACATGCTTTTTGTTGTGTTTACTCTGACCTATATAGCCGGCCATTAGTCGCTCCTGTCTGGGAGGAATGCTCTATTTGCACCTCAATGATTTTGACACAGAGAAAAAGAGAATCTTCTCTGTAACATTTTCATTTGCTTTAATGAAAGAAATGAATTTCTTTTAAATAAATAGTTAAATAAGGCTTATAACTTTGAAAGGCATTTTGCTAATTTATAATCAGACCTAAGTGTTTTGTGTAGGGCAACTTTGCCATGCACAGTTGTGGTTTCATTTTGTTGCTGAAAAATGGCTGTTGCTGTTCCATATTTGTCATAAAGTTTGAGGACTAGGAATAGCAACACTGAGTCATCATAGACTTGCCGAGTGGCCACATGCATCAGCAGTGACAGTTCATTTTCAAACTCTTCATCAACTACTGAGCACTCAAGCCAGTGCTTTCAAATGAGAGCTATTAGAAGGCTTACAAAATCCCTTCATCCATGGCTGGAAAAGTGAGTGAGAAGTGAGAAAAAATCAGGGGGATAAGGAGGTGAAAAAGTTAAAGTGAGAAGGAAGCAGCAAATGAGAGGGGAGAGGAACTGACAGCAAAACAAGAGCATGAAAGCATGAATTCAAACTTTCTGATTATTTCTTTCTGAGATGGAAAAATAAATCCAATTCATGGAAGCCCCAACTTACAGGACCTAAAGGGATGCAATGCAATGTCTTGGTGTTAAATACCAAAGGACACCTTCAGAGCTCTTGTGGAGGCCATGCCTCGAATGGTCAGGGCTGTTTTGGTGGCACAAGAGGGACCTACACAGTATTAGGAAAGTGGTTTTAATGTTGTGTCTACTGTCCTGTTGACAGTGGTCTGCACAGGACAATTATCCAATTGTCATGAACACAAACATTTAAATTCAGTTCATTTCAAATTATTTTACTTAAATTACTTAAACCATAGTGTTCACATATTGCCTGTTTGTGTTTCTTGGATTTGGTTTGAGACTGAATTTTGATGTGGCTGTTCACCAAGCAAGGAGTCTCTAACAAAAGATACCATCAAGCTGAATTATAGGAAATGTAGGGTCCAGAGTTTAAGGGGAGTGACACCTACAGTGCTAGCACAATTGCTCGTGTACCTCTTTAAGTTGTCTTTTCACATGTAAAATGATGCAGAGTAGGATGCTTGTGTAAACATCAAGGCTGCTCATTAATATCACCAGTGAAACCAACCACAGCAAGCACATGCAGTACAGAGGACTGATTTCAAAAACAGACCACTAAAGCATGGCCTAATGTTCACTATGTCTGCTCCACAGCACACTCATTCTTCAAATGGATCCAGTAGTAATGGAAAGGCAGATATTCACCCCGCAAAAGTGTTGGTCATAAGGGCAGTGTTGTGTGCTGTAGTTTTCAAAAATCCACATGGAAGATGTAGGTTATAGAAGCACAGGTTGGTACTTGTGTGTGCTTGTGTGTGTATTTGTAGAGGAGAGTAGCCCTGAATAGCTACTGTAGCAGTCTGATCCAGAACTGTCATGTAGCATTAGATTTAATGGGAGAGAGATGTCTACAGCAATGCCCACGCCCACACACAAACACACAGAAATATACAAACTAACACACACAAATGCAGACTGTTCATGTCATAAGCACAGGCACATAAATAAGCATGCATGCACATGCACAGACACTTGCACAGGCACATAAAACATGTTTTGATGAAACAAAGATATAGAACAAAGATATTCAGAATCATATCTCTTAGATAAAGGTGACTGTAAAGAGAGAAAAGCTCTTTTTGCCCTGTCCTCTTTCACTCTGACCCCCACACACATGTACTTCTGTGAATTAGCAGAGCTCTATGGACCATAGTCTTTCATACTAGAAAGTAAAATATAAAACAGGATGAGAGCAGAGAACGTCGGGCACAGATCACATTTGTCTGTTTCCATCGCTGGCAATCTGACAGGAGAGAACACTTTATGTATTTATCAGCATAATGCAAATACCACAGCAAACAAAGTAATGTTACTTTGAATAATAACTAAGTACAAAACTGAAGAATTATACTAAACACTTCACAGCATGAAGGTCACTGTGCCTGAAACTGTAATTTTCTGGGCATGTTGTTGCAAAAGGTCAATGGGTGGCAAGGACAGTGAGTCACAGCAGCATCACATTAGTGCAGCGCTCTGCAGGATGGCCTGAAATAGATCTAAACAGTTGATTTTTTTTTTCCTCTGTCTTTTTTATTTCATTTTCTATTTCTTTTTGCCTCACTCTCTGAATCCAGGTCCTATATCCTCCTCTAACTTTTAACTTTCTCTTTCATTTTCCATAATAAGTAGTGATGGCAGTAACTGGTTTAGCAACAGTGTGACAATAACAAGACAATACAACAGTAAATAATGCATTACTATGGAACTGAATATATGAAACATTTTCATTTTGGGAAAACAAAGAAGTCTCCTGCTGGGTTTAATAACAACGACAAGGATAGACAAGGGTAGCGCCTAGGTAGGGCGCACAGGAGGCAGGACACAATGCAGTCATGTGGCCAATTTGTAATTTGGTCATAAACAACTGAGCCTCTTGCCGTTCCTTAAATTTGTCTGATGATTCTGGCGCTAGCCCTCAAAGACATAAGTTCCTGAATTCAGTTGTGTTTCCAGTTTAAGATTTTTGTTGGCGTCTTCAATGTAAATGGCTATAAATGTTTGTATTCTTCCAGGTTAATGCCAATCACAGGATAAAACCCCATAAACCCGTCCACTAGCTCAGTGTGAATACTTTGGACTATATACTGCTTTTTTTCTCACATGGGCTCACTGAGATTTTACACGGACTTTGTACTAGGGAGCTGGCAGGGTAGAGTCTGGGTCAATTGATTCTGACATTGCGTTCTCACATACAGCTCCTCTGGGTAATTCCTAGATAAACTCAGGGTGTCAGTGCATGTCTGAAAAGGGCTTACTTCTTCCATGTACAGATTGGCCACAACTGGGGACACTGGTGAACCCATGACACAGCCATGCTTTTGTCTGTAAAACACCTCAGTGTATTTGAAATACTGTAAGTGATCATCAGGCGGAGATCAAGCAAAACACATATTTGATGTTTTGGTGACTTTGGTCCTTTTGGATAGTGTATTGTCATGTAGTAGATGTTTCCTTACTGTCTTGACTGCCGCAGATGTTGTAATCCTTGTGAAAACTGAAGTGGCATCATAGGATTCCATGGTTTCATCTGGGTTCAGTGGCTAAGAAGTAAATATCTGGGACTCCTCAAGCAAGTTCAGCTTCCAACCTTATCACTTTGATTTGATTTGATTTGATTTATTTATTCTTTCAAACATGTAACAACAGTCAGTATGTAATCACACGTAATTCCAGATCGCGTCCACCTCTCGCTGGGTAAACTGCAAACTTATCTTTATCTCCTGCATTTCCTTGGTCAAGTCGTCGAATCTCTTGTTATGAGCCTCCATAATTAGTTTCACAAAAACCTGGAAACTCTCATTTAGTTGGCACATAAGCGCAGTGTGCATACTGCGCTGCCGCTCCATCATCTCAGCAACTTGCGC